ACATTTCATTGATTTACTCGAAAACTATAATAGATAGAATGGATCCAATATATTCATTGAAAGCTGAATGTTTGGGGAATCCAGCAAGTGTAGATACATTTCCTGTGCTCTTATCCTATTGCTGTAATACGCGTTCAAAGTTAAAATAAGAACGTTCGAAAAAGCAGTGTTTTCACATTTCATTATTTGATTGATTCATTCATTATGAAAAATGACTAAAGAAACAGGACGCGATAAGAAAGAAGCAAATTATGAAGAAGAGACCATAATTAGTTATAATATAAATATGAAAACTATTCGATTTTTATAATATAGTAAGTATGTGCAAAACAAATTTGTAAAAAGGATTTAGAAACTTCAAATCTAGTAGCATATGGTGTAGTTTTACCAACATTGGAATGTGCTGTCAGTAATATTACATAATTTTGAAATATGTTTTATCAAGTTCATCAAATGTATTTTCACAATTGAATACTATATTATTTTGCAGTAAGAAAAGATTGCATAAAGTATGTAAGTTTTTTTTATGGTGATGGTTAATATAAGTAAAAACAAACTAGTTTCAATAGGAATAGCAGTAGAAATTAATGGTGAGTCGAAGCTTGCAAAGATAAAATTGTTGAAAAAAAGTTTTGCAAACAGGAACGTGTTAGTAGCATATGGTGCAGTTCTGCCAACGTTCGTGCAAGTTGCCAATAACGTTATGTAATTTTGAAATATGAGTTTACCTTATCGAGGCAGGAAGGAAATTGGATAGGAGAGATAGCGTGGCGAATGTTTGTATCGCGTACACAGTAATTGCATGCGCCTGAAAGAAAAACCTGAATGAGATTATTAATTAGGCGTGGAGAGTATTGAAATTATCATTTCGGTTGCGACTTGCGCAAACTTGCGGATCGATCGCTAAACGAACGAAGGTGTTTTCCCCATCCAGAGAGGAGACGCGCGCGTTAAGGGATAGAAACACAATCATAATAATAATAATAATACTACATAGACGATACGGCCGGAGCATATATAATCTAATCGACGGCTGCTCTCCAAAAACTCTTCAACACAATGAATTGAAATCTCTTGAGCGAAAAACCGAGGCAGAGGAATCAAGCAAACATGTCAATTATAAAGAATGGTGAGTTTGATAGATGGGAATTTGTCGTGAAACGAGAATTGATTTTTTTTTGCTTCTGTTTTTTTTCTTTCAGAGAAGGATTACAAGGGCAAGCTGGTGGCTGCGGTCAAGAAGGAGGTAAAGCAGGTGATGGAGGAGTCCGTCACGAGGAAGTTTGTTCACGAGGAGAGCGGATCGGTTACATCTCTTTGCGGGGCCGTCGAAGCTTGCTTATCGCAAGGTAAAAAGCCATGATTAGACGTTCTGATTGAGTTATATAACATTGAATTATTGTCTGTTTGCAGGACTACGGAGAAGGGCTTTGGGATTGTTCAAAACTTCGAGCACTACAGCCCTGCTGCATAAAATAGCGAAGCACAGCGAGGAGGCTGCTAATATCTCGAGGAAGGTTCAGGATATCGAGAGTTCAGATCCGAATCGCAAATCCTCCTCCAGCAGCGACAGTCTGACGCTTAAAAAGAATCTGTCCGTGCAATCTGCTGGTCCTCCAGCGGCGCCCAAGTATCTGTGGATTAGATTGGCGCTGTTCGAAAAGCAATTGGCGAAAATTATAGATTATTTGGTGACTAATGCGGGAAAGTATTACGACAAGGATGCTGTCGTCGCCGATTCTGATTATGGGACTATACTGAGCTCTTTGCTGGTCGGGCCTTGCGCTTTGGACTACACTCGCACCAAGACGCAGGATCATTTTTGGACAGATCCACCTGCTGATGAGTTGCTGCAGAGACATAGGATATCTAGTGGACATTCAACTCCTCCTTCGGCGCGAAGACCCATGTTGAACTTCAGGAGATCGCTGAACACCAGCGCTGAGGATTCGACGAACAATCGCACGAGTACCTCTCACTATGCTAAGGATTACGTGGAGAGTCTGCATCAGAATTCGAGGGCAACTTTGCTCTTCGGCAAGAACAACGTTCTGGTGCTGCCGGTCAATGCGCCTGGCACCGACCCGCTGCCAGGGTATCTCAGTTTGCATCAGAGCGCCCATAATTTGACCATCAAATGGACTCCGAATCAGCTGATGAATGGGTTCGCAGAAGAGGTCCAAGACAAAAGGTAATTTTATAATTTAAATATGTATTTTATGTGTAACTTGTCTAAGACTATAGGTAATGTCTTCACGTCTTAATTTCAAATGATAATGTGATTATTACATACATATTTGACATTGACATTGACATGAAAGATTCTCCATTTAATATTTTTCAAGACAAAATGGTTGCCATGTTTGAAATCGATAAACTAAGNNNGAAAAGACAAAATGTTCTTTATTATGATAATTGATTAAATATAAAGAAACATAAATATGACATTGACACGAAACATATTTGTATTTTACATTTTTCTAGACAAAATTTTATTGTCACTTTTTAATATCTTTAAATAATTTTGTCGAAGACAACATTTAATCTTACCACAAAATATTTTCATTTAACTTTGTCCAAAAGAAAATGTGACATTGACATTGACATGAAACATTCTCCATTTAATATTTTTTTAAAAAACTAAGAGAAAAGACAAAATGTTCTTTATTATGATAATTGATTAAATATAAAGAAACATAAATATGACATTGACACGAAATATATTTGTATTTTACGTTTTTCTAGACAAAATATTATTGTCACTTTTTCATATCTTTAAATCATTTTGTCGAAGACAACATTTAACCATGCCACAAAATATTTTCATTTAACTTTGTCCAAGACAAAAGGTGACATTGCCACCTTGACATTTTCCTATATATATATATAATGGACGTAATCTATTCTTAGAAAATAGTTCAATTATTTAAATTATCTTCGTCACACAACCCATTAATCTTTATTTATCATATGTTTTGTACTAAGTCGAATATTGCGTGATTCAATGAATATTTACTTAATTACTACTTTCTGTATGAAATACATTATAACAGAAAAAAAAGTTTATACTTTTGGAACTCACATTATAATAATAAAAACAATATTATATAAGTCAATTAATGGAAGTCTTAAATTACAATTACATTGCAAGATTTATGACCCAATTAGCTTAAAAAGAGGCATTTATTACGTTACAATAAATTCAATACTATAAATATATTAGTATCACAAAAAGTCGGAAACAATAAGCAGAATAAAATAGAAATGATCTCTTGATTTATAATTAATTACTTAAAATGAATTCCACAAACGAAATGCGTATTTTATAAGTATTCATAAATTATATGAAACCATAAATGTGTTGATGATTCTTGTGCTCTTATCCATATTGCTGTAATACGCGTTCAAAGTTGAAAAATTGAAATAATAACGTTCATTGATTTAATTGAAAACTATAATAGATAGAATAGAATAGAATTTGTACAATGCATAAACTTTGTTAGTACTTCCAGATATAAAATCAATTTGCTAAGTGGAATTGTTCGTTCGTCTCGAATTGTAAAGTATACATTACGCAAATAATTGTTTTGTACAGTTTATAAAAGGTTTTCCACAGTTGTATAATGGATAAACATCCATTTCGTTGATTGAATTATCATTTTTTCGATGTTAAATTTATTGAATTATATGAATATTACATTAAATATTTTTATATATTAACGTTTTAAAGAATGTAATTTAGGCCCTGAATGGGCCTATAAATATTATTAAATATTTTAAAATACGTAAAATTAAATTCTGGTTCTCGCAGAGGAGAAAAATCTGTTTTTTTTTGTGCACGTTTGATTGCTCGTCGCGTTTTTTTCTTTTAATTATTTTTCTCTGCGTTCGGAGCAGATCTCAACCGAGAAGCATTTAATTGAATTTCTTAACGAGATCGTAATGAAACTTTGCAGGATCAATAGATGTGAGTGTTTTCCACTCCTGAAATGCGACGACCTTGATTTCGCAACATCCACGAAGTTCAATTAATTTTAAACGTTCATTATTCCAGCATGAATTTTCATTAGACGCAATTTAACGCATAAAAGTGTTTTTTTTTATCCTTCATTAACTCAATGCTCCAGTTTCGTTTCTCATTTTGTTTTTAATTATTTAAATAATATACACTGATATTAAGGCAGAGTTATAGTTGTTAGAAATTAAATTTGCGATTACAGCGAGATACTTGCATAGTGCGCAAATTGCTTTCATCAGTCCGGTTTAAAAATTTCAAAACTAACTATAATTAGTGCAAAACATTATTTTTATACATTCATTATTGCTTTTTTTTTTAGCTTTTGTAAGCATTAATAGAACTAATCATATAACTTATTGCAAATGATTAGAAACTTTATATCACTGAGGAAACTTTTATCAAGCTGTTTTACACTTTTGTTACATCACTCTTCATTAATAATATCACATAACAAATCACGAAATTGTTCTAAATCATTTATAAACCAAGCATTATGAAACACTTTTGGCGGTTTAGAGTGCATTTGGATAGTTTTTTCCTCGTATTGAGGCGACAGGAAATATTACTTGGATATTTGTCCATAGTTTTGACACAGTGCTATAAAGCCTTTGCATTAATAATATCACATAACAAATCACGAAATTGTTTTAAATCATTTATAAACCAAGCATTATGAAACACTTTTGGCGGTTTAGAGTGCATTTGGATAGTTTTTCCTCAGATTGAGGCGACAGGAAATATTACTTGGACATTTGTCCATAGTTTTGACACAGTGCTATAAAGCCTTTGCATTAATAATATCACATAACAAATCACGAAATTATTCTAAATCATTTATAAACTAAGCATTATGAAACACTTCTGGCGGTTTAGAGTGCATTTGGAGAGTTTTTCCTCGGATTGAGGCGACAGAAAATATTCCTTGGATATTTGTCCATAGTTTTGAGACATTGTTATAAAGCCTTTGCATTAATAATATCACATAACAAATCACGAAATTGTTCTAATCAATTTATAAACCAAGCATTATGAAATAGTTCTGGCGGTTTAGAGTGCATTTGGATAGTTTTTTCTTCGGATTGAGGCGACAGGAAATATTACTTGGACATTTGTCCATAGTTTTGACACAGTACTATAAATCCTTGTTGATATTGAAGTTAACTTTATATTTAGGATCTTTCAATATATCAATACCTATAGTTATTTCTTTCAAAGAAATTGTGCTAAATATTTATTCCTCGAAGATTTGTTAATTTGTATGAAAAAGCATGATTAATTTTCTCTTTTATTTTTCAGTCCATGATATTACACAATGTTTTGTGATAATTGTATTAACCCGTAACTACTACGTACAAATAAATGAAACAAATAACATTTGGGTCAAAATTACCCGATTATTTAATATTTAAAAAAAATACAAATTATTAATCTTTACAATACATATAAATTTTCATTACTTAATGAATTTAATGACAATAGAATGCAAATTAAAATAAATATTATATGGGTCACTCTGACCCATAAATAGACGTAGAGTTTGAATTTTTCAGAAATACTGTAACTTGCAAAATACATGAAAGTCTAAAGTTTAGAAGAAAAGGAATTGTTGGCATTAGTATGAAGATAATGCCTCAGGTGCAGAAAATATGGAATGTTTAAAATTCATGGTTTCACTTATATTTTTAACGTATTATATAAATTATTCTCTTGAAACATTGATGTTTTCTTTGTAATTTTCATGTGTTCTTGTTATTGATTTTGTTTCAGTGTGTACTGGGATTATGCGTTGCAAGTGCGAATGGATGAAATAGTATATGTGCACTGTCACCAAGACGCCGAGTCAGGAGGAACGATAATATTGGTAGGACAGGATGGGGTGCAGAGACCTCCGATTCTCTTTCCGAAAGGTGGACACATGTTGTCCTTCCTCAGTTGCATCGAAACGGGTCTCCTTCCAAGAGGCAGATTGGACCCACCTCTTTGGTCGCAACATTCGGGTGTGTCCACATCCGCGAGGAAGAAGAGACCTTTACCTGCTATCACCGAGACAACAAAGGATTACGTCTTTCGGATAATCGATAACGCCGACAAGGAAATACGTGAGTCCTGAGAGAAAAGAATACCAGCTGTTTGATTAATAGAGAATTTCTAGTGAAGCGCAACGAGCTTCTGGATACGAAGACGCCTCTGCCGTCGAGAGTGCGAGTCCAGTTGGCATCGTCGAGCACCAGTTCCGAGAGTTCGACGAAGAGCTTCAGCATAGACGCTCAACCTGCTCCGGAGAGTCCGCCAAGTGTCTGCATAAAAGCCGTTTGCGATTCGATGAAAAGGCAAATAATTTCCAGGGCTTTCTACGGATGGTTGGCCTACTGTCGCCATTTATCGACTGTCCGTACGCATCTGAGCGGTTTGGTTAATTGGAATATTATCAATGGAGATGGTGCAGACGAGGGGATCACTGTCCAGAAGTGGTCGGAGCTGTGCGTGGAAGGCGTCGTCAAAGATAGCAACGAGGTGTTTCGTTTGGCGTATTTCGGTGGAGTCGCGAACGAGCTTCGCATGGAAATCTGGCCGTATTTGTTGCGTCATTACAAGTTTGGAAGTAATATCGCCGAAAGGAATCGATTGAACGAAGAGACTCGTCTCGCGTACGAAAATAGGTTGTCCGAATGGTTGGCCGTCGAAGCCATAGTCAAACAAAGGGATAAAGAGTGTCAGGCCATCGCGATTGCGAAGCTGAGCAGCGACAGCGTCTCCGTTGATCAGTTGCCTCAGATGCAAAGAGATCTGAGCAACGAAGTATTTGAAGCAGAAAGCGCCTATCCGTTACATAATAGTTTTTCTAACGAGGAAGATGAGCATGATTTCAGTATACATCATAACGTTATAGTTACCGATGCCAGTGTGGATATACCATCGGGCGGGTCTGAAGTGAATCTGAGACATCCCTCATTGAATTCGGTCAACGAAGAAGAGAGACATGACAATTGTTTGGAAACGCACGGATTGATTTCGTCCACAGGCGTTTCTCCGGTAAGTTCAAACGGTGGTATTTATACAGTAAGTCCGTTTTTCTACGAATAAAATCGATTGTTTTAATCATCAAAAAAAAATTCAAGGTCGATCTGCTGAATGATTTCGGGGAAATTCTGCATAAAATCGAAAAGGACGTGCAGAGATGCGACCGCAATCACTGGTATTTCGCTGGTGAAAATTTGGATAAGTTGCGCAACATTATGTGCACGTAAGCAATCATTAAAAATGTTACGTTTAATTTATTTATGTGTGTGTTTTGCGTTGAAGGTACGCTTGGGAGCACATGCATATAGGTTACATGCAGGGAATGTGCGATTTGGTCGCACCTCTTCTGGTCATGTTCGACGATGAAAGTTTGACGTACGCCTGCTTCTGCCACTTGATGGAAAGGATGATCGACAACTTCCCTTATGGAAACGCCATGGATTGTAATTTTGCCAATATGCGCTCACTCGTCCAAATCCTTGATTCGGAAATGTACGAACTTATGCTTGGGCAGCGTGACAACACGCACTTCTACTTCTGTTACCGATGGTTCATGTTGGACTTTAAACGCGAGTTGCTCTATCCAGACATATTCTCCACATGGGAGGTCATTTGGGCTGCACAACGAGTCGCTTCCAACCATTTCGTGCTCTTCCTAGCTATGGCCATGCTAGAAACCTATAGGGACGTCATTCTTTCCAACTCGATGGACTTCACCGACATTATAAAATTCTTCAACGGTGAGTCTTCAAAAAAAAAAACAAATCTTATTTTAAAACTTTTATTATACTTTTAGAAATGGCCGAAAGGCACGACGCAGCAGCCACATTAAGACTAGCTAGGGATTTGGTGATGCAGCTGCAGTTGCTTATAGAGAATAAATAAGTACCTTAACGTTATACCTACAAAAATTTATTGAATTTGTTCTAAGATAAATTATGGATTCCACGCCAAATCATATATAGAAACCTACATATATATATATATATTTACGGATGTTATTATTTTTGTTGTTAACTCTATGGATTTAGTGTTTGAAAATATTTATATTTGTATAGAAAAGCAGAGAAACGTTTAAAACGAAGATTTATATGATCAAAACAAAACTAAACAAATCAACAAAATAGAAAAACCAATTGTATGTCTTCTAGAATAACATATATATAGTATTTTATTTATTAGGTATTAGGAGTATATTTATTAGAGTATATTTAAAAAAAAAAGAGAATTTTTATGTAGTAAGAATTATGGGCATTTCCGAATGGCCACACGAAAGGTTGTAAACAACAGTGAAATTACTGCAACAGATCGTTCAAATCTATGTGTATCTGTAATAACTCAAATTGACTACAACTTCCATCATCCACATATGTATTTTGTAATCGGTTTACTTCTTTGTTTCTTTCGATAATTTTCGTCTTGATTATAGTGATTTTTGTTCTAGTGAATGAAAAAACTTCGAATTCCTCCTCAATCACAATCAGAATGAAAACTGCAACGAATTGTTTATTTTCTCGTAAATGAAACGTTTTTAAAACTGTACATTCATATTATAAAAGTAATTATCAAAGAAGAAAAAAACAAATTGAATCTCCTATTTTCTGTATTTTTATATATTACGTGCCTTTGTATATGAGAAATAACTGAAGATAATATAAACTAAACTAAACTCGAACATTGAATCTATATAATCATGGACGCATTTCTAGTTTATATAAAATCAACCAAATGCTTTATTTCTTCCGAACTGTATTATTATTAATTATTAATTATCGTCTAGTGCATTTTATCTACTGTGCCAAAAGTCTCACATTATGTAAATACTACATATCAAATATGCAAAAGTCTTGTGAACTAAATGGAAAATCTATATATATAAAAAAAAAAAATTAATAATAACCTGCATCAAATATTCATATTTATTCAAATAAATTGTATTTAAATATAAATTAACTGATTTTTTATTTACTATAACCAAAATTATAATATCTCATGTAAACTAATTTTGAATATTATGTAATAGATTTTAATCTTTTGGACCTTTTAGATCTTTTTATGTAAAGGACAAATAAATACATTCGTACTTTATTAATATATCTTTATTACCTTTATATAATTCTTTACTTATAAATAACAAATAGAAATTAGTAGGGGTTTCGTTTTTGATATGGATTGTGTGTATGGACGGATAGTAGTAATTGAACGAACTTCGAAAACTCACAAAAATTGTTATCATTTCAGATAGAAAACAAGACACATTTGTACTACTAACACACCACCTCTTCAATTGCAGCCAAATATGTAGGATGTAGCTTAATTAAAATATTTACAAAAAAAAAACAAATATTAATAAATTAATTGCTCTAGTAAGTAGAAAATAGACACTTTGGCTTAAAAACTAAATACAAATTAATCAGTTTATCGTAATATACAAAAAAAAAACAAAAGAATTATAGTTAATCTTTGTGAATGATGTTTTTCTCTCTCTCTTTCGTTTGCTTTAAGATTAATTATATTAGTAATCACAGAATGGTTTCCTCCTTTTTGTTATATAAAAAAAAAGAAATTAGATGAAATAAATGGTATTAAATCAATTAGGGATAGCAATAAATGTCGTTCAGTATAGTATAAGCAATCTCTCTACTTTTTTTCGATTTGATTTGATGATGGACGTGAATTTGGGCGAAAAATGTAATGATTTTTTGTGTCAAATGCAATAAATAATCAAACACACTTTCCTAAGACTCTGGATGAAGAGTCTTTCGTAAAAGGTATGTGGGGCTATCGTTGGAAGAATGGAAGATGAAGGAGTCGTCGTCTGGGTGGAGCAACAGGGGTTGTTGTTACATCCTGCTGCATCTTGATCTCCTGCGATGTCAGCTTGTTCCTCAGCTGCTCGTCCAGAAGTTCCTGCATGTCCATCTGAAAGTAAAATTAAATTAACGATTCTATCTGTAAATGTAAATACAATAGAAGGAAGATTCTTACCTGCCACTGTTCCAATTGTTGACTCAACTCCACTTTCTGTTGGATAGATTCCAGAAGTTGACTGTGGGCCTGCATTAATTCCACGCGGGTCTTGGCTAACTCCACTTCCGCTTTGTTCTTCCTGGTCACCGCAGTATCCCTCACTTCTCGAGCCTTCGACACCACCTCGTCCTGATTGAGAGACGTGTGGGATGCGTCGTTTCGAGCTCGATCCCTCTCCTCCAGCGCTGCTTGCAGTTCTACCTCGCAAACGGAAATCTGCGAATCGTACGAGGAAATAAATGGTAATCGTTAGGTTAGGTTGGGTTGCTTTTTTTTCTTTACTTTCGTTCCGAGTTCGCGGATATTGTCCGCACGTCTCTGCAGCTCCACGTCCCTCTCTTGGATCTCGTTCCGAGCTTGATCCAACCTCTCCAGAATCCTCACCACGTCCGTGTCCAGCACCAATCCGACCAGCTCTTGTCCTACCTCGCTTAGAAGTCCTGCGGAGAACTGCTTGTCGTCTTCGGTGCTCGTCGAACAGTCCGAATGAAGACCCGAGTCGTCGTCGCTGTGCGATTTCAATTGAAGACACAGAGACCTCAACTGCCGATAGACGGACATGCATTCCTGCGAGAGCGTCGGCTCCGATATGTCCATTTCTACTAATAAAGAGCGCTGTTCACCCGCTGCCAGGATACCAATATTAATTGTTGTTAGTAACTTAGTAACAGCATGTCAGGACATCATTTAGCGTAATTAAGTACAAAACAGAGAACACGTCATGCAAATACATCGATTTTTGTTATCGCACATTATTGAAACGGCTACACACTACATGTAACATGCCAAGTACCGCGTACTTGTCCAATTTTTACATTACAATTAAATTGCGAAAAACATACTTGAAAATTATCTAGTAGTGTGTAGCCACCTTTAGGATTGCCAGAAGCTTTTGAATTACTAAAAGTTGAAATGAAATAATTAAAGTGAATGAAATTATTTCTCTCTTAAATATTTGTTGTTAAGTATATAAACTTCATTTTAATTATAAATATAATAGAAAAAAAAAAATGAATGTATTTTTTTTTTCTCATTAACAGCAAGAAGTTAAAATAAACTTTGTCAATGTTGTATATATTCTGGAATGTTTCACAGATTTAAAGAAAACTGGAATTCCCAAACACGTTTTTTTATGCCGTTCACCTTCACCTTCCTTCTATTATTACACCAGTCTGAAAATCTGTGTAAGCTGGTATAATTTAATTATCTAATTATTTCTTCAGTGACACTTTTATTTTTTTTCATGAGAATATTGGTATATGACGTTCACAAAGAAAACAGCACCTTGATTTTAGTTAATAATAAAAAATAATAAATAATAGACATTTTACGTTTTCAAATTTACAATTGAAACCGATGCCTTTTGAAGTTAAAATCAAGTTAATTAGAAAATAAGAGTTTGTAAATAATATACATAGTAAAAATGAGTAAAATGCAATTTTTTAATGATATAAGAGTAGTTTGTAGATGGCATCACTTCAAATTCGATTGAAATTTAGTCGGGATTTTGATATATTCGGGATTTATATACAGTCGGGATTTTGATTGTCGGGATTATAGTAGTCGGGATTTCAAGCGTCGGGATTTTGAGTCAGTCGGGATTTCGAACGTCGGGATTGCGATTGCCACCGATGTTTTTGTCATATTTTTGAATATAAGTTTTGATTTATATAATCGATTTCGCCAATATTCCGGACTGTTTAAAATCGGACTAAATAGGGACCGCACTATGTGAGAGGTATGCCTGTATTTGATTTACTTTGTGAATAATACAAATTTTCTCTAAAAATAAACAATATTTCAATTAACAATTTATAATTAAATTGAACCGATGCCTACTTTCTTAGTTATTACAAATGATCGAATGATGTCAACATTTTTCACTAATTACATAATATCTAAATTTGTATTTCATAGTAAAATATTTCTTTATGCCTTCATCAATTTAAATTAGCCACAATAATCTATTAATCAAAATTGAAAGATTTTAATTATAAAATACGTATTTATTTTTTTTTTTTATATTTTGTGACTGTTAGAATAAACCTTATTATAAAAATACGTTGACCGTTGGTGTCTTTCACTGTTGCAAGTTGTTTAATTTATGATTGTTGGAGTTAAACAGAGTTATTTGGGGATAACAATGAAAACATATCGTCGAATGATTCTTGAAAACAGATAATAGACAGCAATTGCCACAAAATACAATTTAATAATATATAAATTTTGCCCATTTCGACTAAAATCAAGCATTTTTGAATCTTGATAGAAATTTTATTATTTTTTTTTAAATTAATTCTCTCATCAATTATATTTATTTTTATATACCAATTTATGCAGTTAATTTTAAATTGTGTAATATAATTGATTGTAAATGTGTAATATTGGTTAATGATCAACTAAAGTTTTGCTTCTTTGTCTGGCAAACCCTAAACAACAAACAAGAAAGATAACTCACTGTTGATTCGTTCCTCGATCGAATACTTCTCCTGCGGCAAAGTGTAATCTTTGATGGACTGCTGGTATCGCAAATCTTGCTCCCTTGCGTGCCTCTCGAGCAACAGTATTCTGTCAGACGCATCCTCCAGAGCGCAGGCAAAATTATCGCGCTCGGATGCTGTGAGTTGCAACCTTCTCTCCAAATCGTTCCTCTTCTCCTTTGCCAGATCCAACTCATCCCGCAATCCGTCCACTGAGCTGACGTGTTCCTGCAGATTCGATTTATCCAAGGCGTATTGCTCCTTCAACGCGAGCAACTGCTGCTGAAGCTGATTCTCCAACGCACTAGATTCTATCAACAAAAAAATAAAAATAACGTGAATTGCATACTTTAATCATGAGTTGCAATTTTACCTTTAAGTTGGGTTGTGAGTCGTGCATTTTGTGCGGTTAATTCGGCTACAAGTGCGGACTTTTCGCGTTCGTACTGCTTTATTGTTTGATCCTTTACGGTCATCTTCTCCGTCAGCTCGGAGATATCATTCTGAAGTTCGATTATTCGAGCCTCAAATTCTGATTCTCTGTTCGTTAATTTCCTTTTCAGCAGATGTCTGTCCTGCTCAACTTCCTGTAACAAACAAAAGGATTATATTTATTGAAGCAATGAAAATGATTTTAAAATAAAATATAGTTATTGCAGGATAATGAAGAAATACCAAATTTGATTAGGTAATAATCATATTCTATTTACTCAAAAGAATTATATATTTTGCTCCTAAATATAAATCACAAAATGTTTTATTTCTATTATTTAAGATTTTAGATTAGGATATAATTCGCATTTTCATTACTTTTACTTGTCCATTATTGGAAATCAAAAAAAAAAATATTTAAATTAGGGGTTGATACACAATGTGGTAGTTGGTATGAAGTAATTGATGTCTCACATCACGTACAGTGTGGAATCAGCATTAGACATAGAAATGTGCAGCGAATTGAGGAAATTGTCACGTACCATTTCATTAACATTAATAAAGTTCTCTCAGGTCCCGTTTTAAGTAGGTACTATATAATAAAACTCATGTCTGAAATTCTTTGTAAATAGCATATTTTGAGCTTAATTTTTCATATTTCTTGCAGATTTTTAACAATTAAACTATTTTATAGAGAAAACAATAAAATATTTGATACGAATAATAAAAATATAGCAATTAATCTTTTTGTTTATAATATTTTATGAAATCTTATCTACACGTTTTGCAATGAAAAGAAACGCATCCGAGCGTATTTATATGTATTAAATTGCATAACCGTTCACGCGCAGCGAAAGCGACAACTGAAATTCCTTCACACACGAGAGTTCTGATTTCCTCGTGACGACGATTTAAATTCGCGGAGCGCCCGAATAACTGCACACATCCAAACGGAAAACGAACAAAAAAAATAACAGCGACTTCCTTATTTTCGCAATGCGATTAATTGAAAATCGTAACGTTTCGTTGCGTTTGATCATCGTTTTGATGATGATGATGATGATGATTCCCTTTTACTTTCCTAGTCCAGGTCATCTGCAGACGATCAACTGTAATAGTCGGTTTTACGGTTGCATCATCGTCTGGCGAACGGAGGGATCATACAATAATGAAATTAAACATGGTCGTTGCGCAAAGAGCACTTGTTCTAGTAAATGTTGTAAATGTAAGAAAAGGAAAACTCGGGCTGTGCGAGTTACGTTAATTCATTGCAAAATGTACAATTAAGCAACGTCGTTGCAAGGTAAGACTTTACGCTTTTCCAGTGCCATGACAAAACGCAGTTTTTATAGTTGTAAAAATAAATAAATTTTGAAAGAAAAGGTTGTATTATTAAATTAAATTCTAGCACGAATTTCTAAAAAAAAAACTGAAATAATTGAAACATAATTTATAATATTTAAATCACTAATGGAATGAACGATCTTGTGATATTTTAGACTACATTTTATTGTACTTTATGTAATTAAGTTAAATTCATTGACAATTTACTATGTAACTAAAAATAGAAAGGGCTTGGCATCCTGTTACATGTTTAAGTTTGTTGTTTGATAGACTTATATAAAATATAAATAATTTAGTTGCAATAATCAGTGTCTAGTTTTCATTAAAATCATATTTTTTTTGTAGTATATAGGAGTAAGAGAGATATATTTCTATAATTCATTCAAATAATTTAACCTATTCAAAACATCGTTTTAACAAGCACTTTCCATTACATAAAATTCGATTAACGAGTAAAACAAATTATAACAAAAATAACGATTTTTCGCGTAACGAGTGACGAGGAGAAGATAAATCACAGATTGTGCGGCTGCTACATCATTTTTCAAACTTGTGTTGAGACATATGTGTAAAAAGCAGCAAGAAGACAGCCATAAGAGGTTAAAAAACGAATAGAAAAAATAATCTAATTATTTCGTTCTTTTTGTTTTCTGAAAATCGAATTCGAATTCTAATAAACCAACATTCCCCTATAGAAGAAAAGATGAAGATGATTCAAGCTCCTTAACAATGTATATACACTCGGTCCTCTTTTTATGCGGTTTTTATTTCAAGAAGCATTTTTTTAAAATAACTATTTTAGGTCATTTTTGACACGTTTTGAGACAAATTGGCAAAACCATTTCATCGAAAAAGACGATAATTCTGAACGAGCATTCACGTTTCAACGCGAGCTTCAGAATTGCAAAGCCAAAGCAAAGTTTAATCACTGATTATATTGTCAAAGGGAAAAAATCAACATGCGAAGTTGAGACTAATTTTACTTGTGAAGAATTATTATCTTTAGGACATAGATCTGATATGTTGACTATCTCTTCTAGTGATGAAAGTGATTTCGAACCAGTTCGCAAATTATGCCGAACACTCTCATATAACTCATATAATTCTAAAGAAAAAAAATGCGAAGAAAGATTAACTTTCATAACATTTTCTGTATTTTTTTTTGTAACATTTTTCCGTATAGATTTAGAAGTTGTTTTTAATATTTAATAAATTTTAATGTAAATTCGTATTGGGCCACGACAATGATAGTTCTTTGTTTCACACACTCGATAAGAAATCAATAAAAATTAGGTAATTGTTTATTTCGAATATGTTGAAATGAACGTAAATTATTTAATAAGCAATTATTTGAAAAAAAAAACATACAATTTTTGTAAATAATACTTTTTTTTTCTATACATTCAAATCATTTATATTGTAAAGATTAAACTATTTAAATTTAAACAATTACATAGTTACCAATATTTGCCAATTAACTTATATAAGTACTTGTATGAGTAGTCTGATGCAATTACTTACATAAACATATATGAATAATACTTGTAACTTGTCAAGTAATTTTACATCAATTTTAACAACTATTATATAATCAGAAAGAATAGTAAATATTTTAATTATTTCAATGAAAAGTGACAAAACATTTGCAAATTAGACAAAAGTTTTGAACGTTTTTATGCTATTTTTCATATTTAATAAATTTGAAATTTCATAAAACATTTGCCAAACGCTGCTGCTGAATAATTTTTTGTTTTCTGTCTAATTTATTTACAAAAATTGCAAATTTTAGATTTCTAGCAATTACAACAATTATATTGCCTTTTCCACTTCATTGTTTTCATTTATAAACAAATAAAGTGTTTTTATTGGAAATTGTACATAATTAAACAAATATACTTTGGTTAAATGTAAAATTGAATAATTTTTGTATTCCGTCTAATTTATATCACAAATAAACAAATCCATATTTGGGTACGAAAAGAGCACATTTTGAACACCTGCATTGTTTAAACAATCGTTCGGAAATGCGAAACGTCGCGAATCGTCACGAAGTATTAGCTGCAGCTGCAACTGCGTATCTCAAACGTTAAACACATTTTTATATTCGCATGAAAAATGCTGCGTTTCGATTCGAATATTTTGAAATGAGCGTTAATTATTACAAATTCAAACAATTATAGAAAAATATATATGTAAATAATGCATTTCATTCCATGCTTAAATTGAAATAATTATATACTAAATAATATTTGCCAAGTAACTTATAGAAGTACTTGTAGAAGTTGTCTCAAAAAATAAATATTTTTATTGATTTGAATGATTGATGCAATTACTTATATAAACATAGATGAATAATACTTGTAACTTTCAAAGTAATTTTACATCAACTTTAGCAAATATTATATAATCAGAAAGATAGATTTGTAATAAAATAGTAAATATTTTAATTATTTCAATGAAAAGTGATAAAACATTTGCAAATTAGACAAGAGTTTTTAACGTTTAGCCACGAAAATGATAGTGCGTTGTTTCGCATATTCTATAAGAAAGTAATATAAATTGTTTAATATCGATAAGCGATATTCGCCAAGTAACTTATGTAAGTACTTGTTCCTTGAGACAAACTACTTTCGCTTTCACATACTGTAAAATACACTAAAACATAACACTTTATTAGGAAAATGAAATAGTAAACTTTAAGAAAATAGTGAACATATTAATTGTTTAGTAATTATAAATAATTTCTTGTTTTTACGGATTATTAAAATTGTATATTTGCGCGCTTCATAGAAATTTGACGATAAAACTTTGCACACATCTGCGTCTCGATGAATCATCACAGCTGCAGGTGCGTACGTATAAACAAATCCATATTTGGGCATGAAAAGAGTACATTTTTGAACACCTGCATTGTTTAAACAATCGTTCGGAAATGCGAAACGTCGCGAACCGTCACGAAGTATTAGCTGCAACTGCGTATCTCAAACGTTAAACACATTTTTATATTCGCATGAAAAATTCAAACAATTATAGAAAAATGTATATGTAAATAATGCATTTCATTCCATGCTTAAATTGAAATAATTATATACTAAATAATATTTGCCAAGTAACTTATAGAAGTACTTGTAGAAGTAGTCTCAAAAAATAAAAGTTTTTATTGATTTGATTGATTGATGCAGTTTACTTATATAAACATATATGAATAATACTTGTAACTTTCAAAGTAATTTTACATCAATTTTAGCAAATATTATATAATCAGAAAGATAGATTTATAATTAAAATAGTAAAATATTTTAATTATTTCAATGAAAAGTGACAAAACATTTGCAAATTAGACAAGAGTTTTTAACGTTTAGCCACGAAAATGATAGTGCGTTGTTTCGCCAATATTCGCCAAGTAACTTATGTAAGTACTTGTTCCTTGAAACAAACTACTTTCACTTGTACATCGTGTAGAATACATTAAAATATAACACTTTATTAGGAAAATGAAATAGTAAACTTTAAGAA